CGGCTAATGGTGAAAAGCTTTGTATATACCACGGCCAAAGAGACATCCGGTGTTACGCGACTGCGAAGTTATAGTCTACCTGATAAGCCTGATATTCCTGCAACTATTTGCGAGGCTGCCCTTGCAACATCAGCTGTGACTGGTTTTTTTGACCCTGTGTTGATCAGAGCACACTATTTTGTGGATGGTGCGTTGGGTGCAAACAATCCAGTGGATGAAGTAGAGGGGGAGGCTTCTAATATTTAGTGTCCAGACACCAGAGATCTGAAGCCACTTGTCAAGTGCTTTATTTCAATTGGAACAGGTAACCCCGGCAAGTGAGTGATTAAAGACAACATTTTTAAGTTCTTCTCTAAGACGCTCGTTGCAATTTCCACAGAGACTGAAGAAATAGAGCAGAAGTTCATTGCCAGGTGGGCCAGACACTTCAATAAAAAGTGTTTCTTCTACTTTAACGTGGACCAAGGATTGCAGAATGTTGGTCTCGCTAAGTATCAGAACTAAGGTCGGATTGAGACAGCAACATATGAGTACATGAGGCACCAGAATTAAAAATTTTGTGTGCGAGATTATGTATAAAATCTGAAGCAGAAGCAAAGTGTGTATATTAAAGACTTTGCTTAGATATTTTTAGGATTGCTTTAAACTAATATTGGCTAAGATTCCACAGAAGTTGGATTTGATAAGGTCGTCCATGTAAGTAAAAGAAACTATAGCAGTATGCACCTCGGCTTAACTAAATCAGGAATATAAAATACACTTAATAAAGCTACAGACCTGTAAGAAGCCTTCCTAGAGCAAGAAGCATTGCTGATAACTTAACAGCCAGTCATCATACTTACAGAAATATCCCTTTTCTAAGAAATGAGGATTTCGTTGGCCGTGCTGAGCAGCTTGAAAAGCTGGAAGAGCTGCTGTTTTCCCCAGGCCACTAATACAAGGTTGTGATCACCGGGCTTGGCGGTGTTAGCAAAATACAGCTTGCTCTTAAACTTGCTTACTGAACCCAGCATATGCAACCAGAGTGCTCAATCTATTAGATCCCAGCTGTGAACGTTGAAACTCTCCAATGAACGTATTTTGAAATTGCCCAACAGCTATAATTACCAGGATTTGATGATGAGCAAGCTGATGCCAAGAAGCTCTTGAAAGATTACCTACGCCACAGTAGCGCGGGCTAGTGGTTACTGATATTTGACAATGCAGATGATATCAACATGTGGTTTGCCAAAACTGAAGGCAATACTAAGCCAGGCAGGTTAAGTGAATATATCCCATGGAGTGCAACAGGTAGCGTGCTCTTCACTACATATTTCCACAAGATCACTGCAAAGCTCGCAAAGCATATGATTACAGTTCCAGAAATGGATGAGGCAAAAGCCACAGAGCTTCTTAGCAAACACTTAGGGGATAAGTCTCTACTGCAAGATAGAGATCAAGCTACACTGCTTCTCAAGCAGCTGGCTTACCTGCCCTTAGTGATTGTACAGGCTGCCTGTTATATCAATGAGAATTGCCTTGCTTCGCTTTCGGAATATTAGTTGCTCCTGCTAGAGCTGGAGGAAGAGGTGATTAATCTACTAAGCCAGGATTTTGATGACGATGGACAACCTCATGATGTGCCAAACACAGTGGCTACAACCTGGCTTATATCCTTTGAGCGAATTCGGGCTACCAACCCCTTTGCTGCTGATATCCTCTCATTTATGGCCTTGATAGAACCGACAGCTATTCTGAAGTCTATTCTACCGCCCGCGCCAACACCTAGAGCGTGGGTTGAAGCAATCGGGACTTTGGAGGGATATGCCTTCCTGAGCAGATGATCTGCCGAACAGACTTTCGACCTTCACCGACTTATTCATCTTGCGACGTGTAACTGGTTGAGAAAGAATGCAATTCTGTCAAAATGGACCCATGCAGCACTGATATGACTGGATGGGATTTTCCCGAAACACAATCATATGAATAGAGAAATCTGGAGGAGATATTTGCTGCATGCGCTAAGTCTTCTAGAAAGAAATAAAGTCAAAGGGGAAAGTACCAGGTATAAGCTACTTTTCAAGGTTTCAAGGTGCCTTTTAGCGGATGGCTGAGCGACAGAGGCCATTATATGCCTTAAAGAACATTATGACTGGCACAAGAGGTGCTTTCATGAATCATACTGCTTGTGACTGGAGTCACAGCATGCACTCACAGGTGCATATAAAGTAAATGGGCAGATCAAGCAGGTAGTGGAGCTATTGGAGCATGTAGTCATGGTGTGCATAAGAACCCTTGCCAAAATGCACCCTGATCAACTGGCGTCTCAGCATGAACTCGCGGGTGCATATCATGCAAATGGGCAAATCAAGCAGGCAGTGGAGCTATTGGAGCATGTGGTCGCGGTGC